TATATATATATATATATATATATATATATATATAATGAAAATATTGCTTATTTAATTAAAGAAAATTATCACTGTGCATGATGCCCACTTCCATAGTTTTATATTTATAAAGAACCCTTCATCTATAAAGTCGCTGCCTATTTAAGCCCAATTCTTAGGCAACCTTAGATTCTGAATAATGTAATTTACCCTAAGAAATAACTGTTCCACAGCATACTTCCTTGCATACACTAACATAATGACACCCAGGCTATTAAACAGGCAGAGAAAGAAAAGATGAAAATACATCAGCATCACAAATACTGACAGACAAGAGGGACAGAAAGTAGAAAGAAATTTCATTAATTATAAGGCAGGAAGAACTGGATTGAAAAAAAATTTACCTTTGCTTCACTCCAGGTCTCCCTAGGGATCACCTCATGAAAGGAAACCTAACTGAAGGGAGATTTATACTCCACACTTTTCCCCTAATATCTCCCCTCAGTTGAGTTAACAAGGGTCTGTAACAACCAGAACATTGATAAGACATTGCTCTGGTCTCAGCCCTCTAAGCTTTTTACAGCTATTTAGAGAGAGCAACTAACATTGTTTTGTTTTGATAAATATTTTTTAAATATATTTTTTATATATTTTAAAAATTTTATTTTAGAGAAAGGGAGAGGGAGAGAGAGAAACATCCATGTGAGAGAAACATCGATCAGCTGTGCTCAACCAATTGAGCCACACCAGCCAGGGCTTAAATATGTTTTTCTTGATTTTATAGAGAGATGAAGGGATAAGGAGAGAGAGAGAGAAATATCAATGAGAGAGAAACACCGATCGGCTACCTCCTGTATGCCCCCTCTACTGGGGATCGAGCCTGCAACCCTGGCATGTGCCCTGACTGGGAATCAACCAGTGACCTCTCATTTCATGGGACAGATGCTCAATCAAGGGCCAGGGCTGTCTTTTGTTTTGTTTTGTTTTGTTTTGTTTTCAATGGCAGGAGTGAGAATGCATATTAGAGATGAAAAAGAGGGAATTAACTCAGCCATTTGGCATTCTGGGAAGTAGATTCCCTACAAGTAAAGCCAAATTACCAATAAAAAGGAAATTCTTTTAAATGTTAGTATGATCTAATTCTGATTAAACAAATACTAAAACCATTTATGTGCCCTGGCTGGTGTGGTTCAGTGGATAGAGCATTGGCCCATGCACCTAAGGGTCACAGGTTTGATTCCTGCTCAAGGGCACATAGCTGGGTTGCAGATTCAATCCCCAGCCTGGATAGGGCTGTCCAGGAGGCAAACAATCTATGTGAGTCACATCAATATTCCCCCCACCATGCCACCTTCCACTCTCTCTTAAAAAAAAACAATCAATGGGAAAAAATATCCTTGGGTGAGGATTAACAAAATAAATAAATAAATAAATGATCGTTGTTTTTTAAAAAAAGTATTTGTGTACATGAATGCATAGAAAAATACTATCTGGAAAACACTAAAGGTTTTGTTTCTGAGAAGTGGGATAACATAATTTTAACTTTCTACTTCTCTGTATTTTAAAAAAGTATTTATAAGAAGTAAAGTTTTATTATTTGTTTTTTTGTTAATCCTCATCTGAGGATATTTTTTCCATTAATTTTGGAGAGTGGAAGGGAGGGAGCGGGAGAGAGTGTGAGGGGGAGAGAAACATCGATGTGAGAGAGATACCTTGACTGGTTGCCTCCCGCACACACCCTGACCAGGGCTGGGGACTGAACGTGCAACTCAGGTGTGTGCCCTTGACAGGGATTCAAAACTGCAACCCTTTTCAGTCTGTGGGCCGAGATTCTAACCACTGAGCAACACTGGCCAGGGCAAAAGTAAAATTATTTCTAAAAGCTATTAAAAAAAAAAGCTATTGCTTGGCCAGTGTGGCTGAGTGGTTGAGCCTTGACCCATGCACCAAGAGGTCTCCACTTTGATTCCCAGTCAGGGCACATGCCCAGGTTGTGAGCCAAATCCCCAGTGGGGGGCATGCAGGAGGCGGCCAAGTGGTGTTCTCTCTCATCGATGTTTCTATCTCTCTCTCCTTTTCCCTTCCCCTTCTCTAACATCAATATAGAAAAATAAATAAAAATTTAAAAAGTGCTATTTTCATAAGAGGAAATAAAATATCCATACCAATACATAAAAGATATACACCAAATCTTTCACTTAGGAGGATAATAAATTCCACCTATAAACACTTAGGAGGAAAAAGGAGCCAAAAATATGACTGGCTTTAGTCTTCTCTTCTGTAGCATAAACTAGAAGTCAATAGAACAATATATCATTTTTTGGTAATTAAAAAATGTTATTTATCAATTTTAGAGAGAGAGGAAAGGAGAGAGGAAGAGGGAAAAGAGAAAGAGAGAGAGAGAGAGAGACATCAATTTGTTGTTCTGCTTATTTATGCATTCGTTGGTTGATTCTCTTTTTTTTTTTTATCCTCACCCAAGGGCACTTTTTTTTTGCATTTATCTTCAGATAGAGCAGGAGGGAGAGGGGGAGGAAGAGAGAGAGAGAGAAATATCAATGTAAGAGAGACACATCTACTGGCTGCCACCCACACGACCCCAACCTGGGCCGGGGAAAAACTGCAACCAAGGTACATGCCCCTAGCGGGAACCGAACCCGGGTCGCTCTGGTCCGCGGGCCGATGCTCTAACCGCTGAGCCAAATTGGCCAGGGCCATTGGTTGATTCTTGTATGTGCCCTGACTAGGGACTGAACCCACAACCTAGGCATATGGGGACGACATTCTAACCTACTGGGCTAACTGACCAAGGCAGAACAAAATATCTTGTACAGTCTTGGCCAGTGTGGCTCAATGGTTAGGGTGTTGGCCTGAGCACTGAAGGGTCACAGGTCCGATTCCCGATCAAGGACATGTACATACCTGGGTTTTGGCTTTGATCCCTGACCCCAGTTGGGGCACGTTTGGGAGGCAATATCCACATCTCTGTTTCTCTCTCTCTCTCTCTCCCCCTCCCCTCCTTCCACTCTCTCTACAAATCAATGGAAAAAATATCCTCGGGTGAGGATTAACAACAACAAAAATCTTATAGAAGGAAAGAAAAGTTTGCAAACATATTTTTTTCTACTCAGTCAAATTATATTTTATTTATGAATGTAAATGAAAGGTAAGTTTCATATACCCAAAGAATAAAAAATAGCACACAAAAGTAACCTTGAAAAATCACACAAATCCACTTTCCAAACTACAGAGGCACTTAGCAAAATTTAAGAATCAAGGATAGAAAGTTGTGGTATAGCTCGGCCAATGTGGCTCAGTGGTTGAGCATCGACCCATGTACCAAGAGGTCGCCAGTTCAATTCCCAGTCAGGGCACATGCCCGGGTTGTGGGCCCGATCCCCAGTGGGGGGCAAGCAGGAGGCGGCCAATCAATGTTCTCTCTCATTGATGTTTCTATGTGTCTCTCTCCCTCGTCCTTCCTCTCTCTCTAAAATCAATAAAGAAAAAAAAGAGTTGTGGTATAAAAACTGGTTGTATACCAACAATTAGTATTAAGTCCAAATTGTTAAAACTGTGTTTCAAAATTGACTGTACACATAAAAACTGAGAAGTTACATGTATAGTATAATAAAATAAAAAATACCTTTCATGCTATCGCCCCCCAAACAAGTTTGCCTTTTCTTTTTCTTTTTTTTTTTTTTTTTTTTTTTTTTTATCCTCACCCGAGGATACTTTTCCATTTTTTGTACAGATAGAGTGGGAGGGAGAGAGAGGAAGGGAGAGAGAGAGAGAAACATCGACGTGAAGGGACACATCGAGTGGCTGCCACCCGCACGACCAACCAGGGCCGGGGACAAACTGCAACTGAGGTACATGCCCTTAGCGGGAACCGAACCCGGGTCTCTCTGGACCGCAGGCCGACGCTCCAACCGCTGAGCCAAACTGGCCAGGGCTGCCTTTTCCTTAAATACCTTATAATAGTAATTCACAGATAATCAGTCTCTCTCTCTTTTTTTTTATCCTTACCTGAAGATATTTTCCATTTATCTTGGTATAGAGCGGGAGGAAGAGAGGGAAGAGAGAGACAGAAACATCGATGCCAGAGAGACACATCGAGTGGTTGCCACCTACACGACCCCAACCGGGGCCGGCAACAAACTGCAACCGAGGTACTGTATGTGGCCTTAGCGGGAACCAAACCTGGGCCTCTCTGGTCCATGGGCCGATGCTCTAACCGCTGAGCCAAACTGGCCAGGGCGATAATCAGTCTCATCTCATTCCACCAACCTCCCAAACTGAAGATTTCAATTGTGCTGCTATTTCAGAGGGTGGTTCCTTCCTGGAGAATGAGATCAACCAGAAAGGTTCCCATTCCTTCAATGTCCTCAATGCTTTAAATAATTTATATTCAAAAGGTAGAAGGCGAATAATGTCCCTGTAAATCAATCCAAATGATGGATGTCCTTGGATATTATGAAGCTATACTAAGCAACATGTGCCTTTGGGGAACATTTTTTGACAATGTTCAGCAAACACACCCACTAGTTAGATCAATTTCCCTTAAATTAGAATAAAGTAATTTCACATAAAACCACTATTATGCTAAATAGCATTTTTACATAATTGGTCTAATACCCTAGAAGCCAGAATCACTCTCTCTAGAGAAACCAGACATAACTTGAATGCTCAATTTTTACACAAGATTTTCATTTAATGGAGTTAACTACTTTATAGAGGAAGTTACAGTGAAGATTAAATGAGGTGGTTGCTTGGTCCTCAGTGTCAGCTCCCTATAAGATTTACTCCTTTAGAATGCCTCAGAAAAATGGTCGCGTGATACATGAAAACTGTCTTTACCAGAATTAACTTGATTGTTTTAATCATATTCACACACAGTAAGTCCATGGATGTTTCTCAACAAACTGATCGTAGAGATTCTTTTGCCAACTGATATCAGCATTATACACATGAACAAATTCCATTCTTCATGTAGTTTCCGTACTATCTTAGAAACAGTAAGAGTGCTCGCTTTGGCAGCACATACACTAAAACAGGAATGACACCGAGATTAACATGGCTCCTGTGTGAGGATGACCCGCAAATTCATGAAGCGTTCCATATTTCTAAAGAAGGACCTCTTACCCTTTGAGACAGCATAAACGAACCTGGAGATGATTATGCTAAGTGAAATAAGCCAGTCAGAGAAAGACAAATATCACATGATCTCACTTATTTGTGGAATCTAACAAACAAAACAAACTGACCAACAAAATTAAGTTCTAAGGCACGGAGGCATGGAACAGACTGACATCTCAGAGGAGGGGAGTTGGGGACAAGAAGAGATAAACAAAAGAACTTAATATACTTATATGCACAGCCCATGGACACAGACAATAGTGTGGTTAAGGCCTGGGGGGGTAGGAGCTGGGGGCAAAATGGGGGACATCTGTAATACTGTCAACATTAAAAAAAATTTTAAAAATACAATAGAAGAATAGAAACATAACCAGAGACAGAGTAAACATCTCAAAGGCACTGGTATCTTCAGTAACTACCCTTCTGGGTCTTAAACATACTATGGTTAGAATTAAAATCACCAAGTCTGAAGTGTAAAGATATTAATTACTTCACTGATTAAGAAAGTGGAGCGGAAAATTAGATCAGCTATGAAACAGTAGTAAAATAGGAATTGCTAATAAGAAGCACAATTTCCAGCCCCGGCAAGTTTGACTCAATAGTTAGAGCATCAGCCCATGGACCGAAGGGTTGTGGGTTCAATTCCTGTTCAAGGGCACGTATCTGGGTGTCAGGTTCGATTTCCCGCCCTGGCTGGGGTCATGCAGGAGGAAACCAATAAATGTGTCTCTCTCACATCGATGTGTCTCTCTTTCTCTCTTTCCCTCCTTCCATTCTAAAAAAGTCAATGGAAAAAATCCTCAAGTGAGGATTAAACCAAAAAAAAAAAAAAAGCACAATTTCCAGAGTGATCTTACAAATACATAACTTAGATATGCTAATATACAGATTTATCTGTGAAAACAATTAATACACGATAACATTTTATTGACTCCTGATGCATTCAAATTCTGAAGTCTGGACAATCCTGTCTCTGCTTCTAAAAACATATAAATAAAAACCTAAAGGAAACCTCGGTTCCTGGTTGTCAATGCTAAATGTTAGCAGCAACAAAAATCACTCAGTCATCTTTCCCTTATAATGTTAATCCATATTTATGTAGATAAAAAATCCTAAGAGATTGAATCAATATGATAATAAGGAATATATACATCTATTATAATAATTACAGCAAAACTAAAGAAGAGTGCCATCCACAAACCACTAATTGTGGAGAATCTCCAAAGGAAAAGAATCCAATAGATCACATCCATAGGGAAACAAAATCTATGGAAAAACTAAAGCTTAGAAAAAGATCAGTATCGAACTCAACAAAAAGATTAGGTCTTTAGAACAATGAACTTTAAGTAGGTACTTAATGCTACTTGGCAATCTTACTACCATTCCTTCTACCATTCTCCTAGAAAAACTACTTTGTAACTTTACCTCTTTCCTCAAACTTTTAATACCCACTTCCTTGCCCAAACTCATGCTCAGATGATGGCCTTGGATCTATTTCAATGAGAAAATAAAAAGCAACAAAGATAATTCCACTACCACATTTGCTCACCTAATAGCATTTGTGCCCATACTCTCTGCCTTTTCCTGTATTACGGAAAAAATCTGTTTGGGCTCCTATGCTAAGGCCAGCCCCTCTATTTAGAAACTGAACTTGAGCTCCTTTCAACTTCTCAGGGACATCACTCCAGTAATTCTCCTTTCTCCTATCAGTATTTTTTCCCTTCCTAAATCATTCCTCTTATAGATATGAGATTGTATCTCCATTAAGACAGACCTTCCCAACTAGGGCTTATCGAGATATGACTGATTATGAGGAATAGGACATGCCTAGAACATCTTGTGTAAAGATAAGTTCAAAGAATGATGGGGACATGCCAAAAAGACAAAGGAACCAGCTTGCAGAGGTTCCCACTAGCCAAATCTGAGATAGTTGGTGCATCAAAATACATAATGATACTAATGAATAAAATAAAATCTATAATTGTATTTTAATTAATTAATTAATTAATTAATTAATGGGGAAGAATGGAAAGCTCTATTCCAAATAATAAATATAGGATTAAAAAATCACCATTTGGCAATCACCAAAGTAACTGTTATAAGACAAGAATTTTCAATGGTTGTCTAAACTATGGGTAAAAGCTTTATGATAAACATAGTCTCAAAGTAACTCTCCACAAATTACTTAATTACAAAGTGAAAAATAACTTTTCAGTGGAAAAACCTCATAGATACCACCTTAACCCAGTGATCAAAATTAATATCACCACTAATTAATAAGAGTGGACACCATGTACCTCCTGATATGAAGCACTAAAAAGAACCCAACATTTTTTTGTAGTATTCCTGCAACAAATGTATAACCCGAATCTAACAATGTGGAACATCAGATCAAACCATTTTGAATAATACTTTACAAAGTAATTGGCCTAGACTCATCAAAAACATCCAAGTCATGAAAGACAAAGAAAGGCTAAAAAAATTGTTCTAGATTAGAAGAAACTATTGAGGAAGCATAACAATAAAATACAACCAGTTATCCTGGATTGGATCCTAAACCAGAATTTTTTTTCCTTTTGATATTAAAAAGAGTATTGATACATTTAGAAGAAATCTTTGGAGAGCAGTTAAAAATGAAGAATCTGTCCTGGCCGGTTTGGCTCAGCGGTTAGAGCGCTGGACCGCAGGTTCAGTTCCCGCTAAGGGCGCGGACCTCGGTTGCAGTTTGTCCCCGGCCTTGGTTGGTCATGTGGGTGGCAGCTACTCGATGTGTCCCTTTCACGTAGATGTCTCTCTCTCTCTCTCTCTCTCTCTCTCTCCCTCCCTCCCTCCCTCCCACTCTATCTGAACAAAAAATGAAAAAATGTCCTTGGGTAAGGATAAAAAAAAAAGAAGAATCTGAGAGACTTTTAGAACACCCCTTAAACATCTCACACAACACTACTAACTACAAAAGATCTCATTACTACTGCAGGAAAAGTCACAAAGCTTACACACTTTAATTAAGAAAGTTCAACTCAGCTACCAGTATTGACCAATCAGACCTTCATTTAAGTATTAAGCAACAACAAAAAAATGACTAAGCATGTTAGAAAATTTAGTAACCATCAAATTAATAATACATACTCTATCCCAAAGGAATGAGCCAGGAACATAGGAATAAAGAAGTGAATGGGCCCTGGCCAGTTTGGCTCAGCGGTTAGAGCGTCGGCCTGCGGTCCGGAGAGACCCGGGTTCGGTTCCTGCTAAGGGCACGTACTTCGGTTGCAGTTTGTCCCCGGCTCTGGTTGGTCGTGTGGGTGGCAGCCACTCGACGTGTCCCTTCACGTCGATGTTTCTGTCTGTCTCTCCCTTCCTCTCTCTCCCTCCCACTCTATCTGTACAAAAAATGGAAAAATATCCTCGGGTGAGGATAAAAAAAAAAAAGAAGTGAATGGAACAAACTCAATTGTATAGTAATGGGATAAAGGAAAAATAAATGAACTAGAGCTACATACATCAACATGGATGAATCTCATAAACAATGTTGATTTTTTTCAATTTTTATTAATTTATTTTTGTTACAGATGTTTCTCCTTTTTCCCCCCTTAGAAACCCTCCTCCCCATCCCACCCCCCACCCCAGCATTGTTGTCTATGTCCATTGGTTATAAACCAATGTTGATTAAAAAATTTTTTTTTCAGAAGAATGCAGATGCTAGGATATCATTTACATGAACTTTTAAATCTTGCATAAAAAAATTACAGGTATCCAGGGGACTACAAATACACTGATAATTTTTTTCCCTTAAGCCAAGTGATAGGTATATGCATGTTCCTTGTATTATTCTTGATATCCCTGTATACATTATAAAGATTTTATTATAAATATTTTAAGTCAAGAATGCAGGTTAGTGAAATATTTTAGCAATATTCAGTCATGTTCTACAGAGTTTCTACTCATACCAATGACGTAATCCTTAATATAAAAAAATACACCCGTCTTTTTATTATTATTATCATCATCAGAGAGCATGGAAGAGAGGGAGACACACACACACACACTGATTGGTTGCCTCGCACATGACCCCAACAGGGGCTGGGGATCAAACCTGCAACCCAGGTAGGTGTCCTTGGCCGAAACTAAACCCATAACCCTCAGGTCTGCAGGTCCATGCTCTAACTACTGAGCGAAATTGGCCAGAGCTACACTGGCCTTTAAATAGAAAAGAAACTATCAAACTAGCCTCATCAGTTTAGGTGAAGTTTGCTGCCAAATGAATTTGGCAACAAATATAGGAAAGTTCTTTTAGTATCCAGAAATGTTTCTTTTTCTTTCTTTCTTTTTTTTGGGGGGGCAGGGGTAATCCTCACCTAAGGATATTTTTCCATTGATTTTCTAGATAGAGTGGGAGGGAGGGCGGGAGGCAGAGAGAAAGAAACATTGATGTGAGAGAGACACATCAATTGGTTGTCTCTCGCATAACTCCAACTAGGACCAGGGATCAAACCTCCAACCCAGGTACGTGCCCTTGACCGGGAATTGAACCCAAGACCCTTCAGTCTGAGGGCCAATGTTCTAACCGCTGAGTTAAACTGGCCAGGGCAATATCCAGAAACTTTTAGAATTCAGGCATTAAGGACCTACAATAATAAGAAATAGAGAAATCCACAATGATAGTTGAATACTTTAATATATTTTTTTCTCAGAAAGTGAAAGAACAATCAGACAAAATAAGTAAAGATATTGAGCAGTGGAACATTATAATTAAGAAGCATGATGTAATAAATATACAGAGAACTTGGAATGCTCCTCCCAGAATAGAAAATATAAATCTTCAGCAAATAGAGCACAAAAATTCCAAAAAGTAGAAAGCATAGGCTAAAAATAATACTATAAATATAGAAATTAACAATAAAAATCTATCCAGTTCAAAATCAATAATCACTTAAAAATAACTTTTACGTAAGATGAAATCAAAGGAAAAATTTTAAATTTCTTATAAATACA